CAATGCCCTTTGCCTTAGTTTTAAATATGCCTGTTGATAGAGAACTTGACCTTTGACCTGCTTTCACGTTTCTGAGCTCTGACGAGATACCTTTTCACAATGCTTTACTTTTTCAAGGCCCGTGCTGCTTTATTTTAACAAGGCCTGAGGCCTATATCGGGTAAAGGCCCTTTTAATCTGCAGGGGTAGCACTGATTCACTGGAAGGCATATTGATGAGTTGGCAAGATATTGGTGTTGCGCTGATGAGCGCTGGACTCAGGGGAACTTTGAAACACGTTGTATTCATATTTCTGATAATATAAACTGTGAAACTCGGTCCTCATCTTCTCTATCTTTGTCTATTGTCAGACTATTGTTCATTGTGTGTGGGAGTACGATGCATGGCATGTACACACTTGCGTGAGATGGTCCCCAGGACCCATGCATGTACATACATAGCCACTGGATGCTCCTGACTTTGGCCAATCTTGTCCCCCCCAGGCCTGTCCATGGGAGTGCTTGTATTTGCCCAGGGGTGGTGCCCAATGCCCATCAACTCTTGCCAGCTTTGCGCACAGGTACTGCAGCTGGTTGTCTGGTGCTTGGGAAAATTTCCTTAGTTAATAGCCTGTACGTGTACTGGACTGCAGGATTTTCGTTCTCAATGCTATTCTTCGCAATGTGCCCGGCTCGTTCCACGCCCATTCCACTGGGTCCACTTCCAAATTGTCCATGGTAATTGTTGGGCAGTAGAGGATGAACTCGTCAGTTTCAACTTTCAAGTTTCAACCACTCTGACTATCCTTTTTTTTTTTTTTTTCCCCAAAAATTTGGACCATTTCTCGATTTATGCATGTCATCCTTGCGCAGGGGCCGTGCTAATCTTCTCTGTATCGTTCCAATTATAACGGATGTCCCGAAGGACACCACTCTGACTATCCTAAGTTTCCTAACCCTTGCTTTTTGAGTTGAGACTGGCTTCCTGGAGTTTTCGAGCAGCAGGCTTGTTGTTGCCCCTGGTTCAACAATGTCGTACATGTCCATGTTTAGCGAGTTCTTTTCTGGTCCTGGTAGTCCCCATACTTGGAATGCCGTCGTTGGTGATGCCTCGTCCGCCCATGTTGTCCAATCTCCCCTTGTCCACCCTGGGTGTTGCCGTAGAAGGGTGACCCATTATTCTGGTACGAAGATCAGGACGTCGTTGAGGTTTTCCAAAAGTTTGTGGCTGCCCTTCAATTCGCCTCTTACTGGCGAGATACATTCAAATGATTTTTTTACTGGAAGTCAGAGGACCCGTAACTCCCTTGCTGTTTTCCACCACCTTTGAGTCTCGTTCCACAGATGTTTCACTTGCCAGATCCCATGCTCCACCCAGTTTCCCCAGCAAGTGTCTGTTGCTGTAATTGTTCTTGGCTTTCCCTGTTCATCAGTCAGCCATTGGATGCAGAATAGTGGTTGTCTCAACACCTCTTCTCTTGTCCGGGGCTTGTAGACCTTTGCTGGAAAGATGTCCTCCCACAGTTTTAGCAATTGTCGCCAGTAGTCTTGCTGGGCTGTCGGATCTCCCACTTCGCCGGAGGCCCGGGGGTGATTACCGTTCTTGGCCTACAATTTACTCATTACCCAGAACAGTCCTGACATGTAATGTGGTGCTTCGTACTTTGCTATGCTCTTGATTTTTTCTCATTTTGTCCCACTCCTTGTTTGTGATCAGGCATCGTTGCTATTCTTAATTCTGCAGTTGTTTCTACTTTCGTGGACCCTGCCTGCTGCTGCTCTGATTGTCAAATTGGTGACTATTCCGCATAGGTTGGATCATTATTCTCTCGTTGTTGTTCTGTGCGTAATATGTACTGTTCTTTCGTTGTACCATAAAGACATGACACACTTGTGTGTGTGTGTGTGTGTGTGTGTGTGTGTGCACTTTGCGTGTGCGTGCAGGTTGAAGTGCAACAATAATGCGTTGACTTGCCTTTCCACTTCAGGCAAAATAAGTCCAGACTTAGTGGAGATCAAGGTGAGTCCCCAAGAAACTTATTTCGCAGGAATTGTTTTGGATCAAGGTGATATGATGGATGGGGGGGGGAGGGGGGGGCGGCGGGCGGGGGAAGAAGGTGGTGTTATTCTTTTGACATACTCAGTGCCAGCTGCAATCAGGTGTAGAGCATACATTCATACTAGGACTTTCTCAACGGAATCTGGCTGTAAATGCGGGAAAGTACAAGTGACAGTGTGCCCTAATTCTTACAACAATGTACTTCTGAGTTCTAACTCTCAGAGTTCCAACTAAGTGCAAAGGGATTATGTCAACTTTTTAAGTTTCAACTTTCAAGGGATTTTGATGCTATTGCAAGGAAAATGAGCAAGAGCGAAATGACAGAATTCCCAAATTGCAACATCACATCGAAAGCCAGATGGTTGTGACTCTTGTGAGCTGTCCAGAACGCAGAAATGCACCGATATTGCACCAAAGGAGACCAAAGCAACAAACTCAATTGTCAACATCAGCGCTTATCCCGTCACCATCAACAATGCGTTCAATGTCTCTTCTCCTACTTGGCGCTTAGCGCCCAGACTACTATCACACAGCTCCTATACTAGCCTACGCTAATGACGGCACAACAGGAAGACTTCAGCAGCAGGAACCAAAGCACGTGCAGATGTCACCCGTCCAGACCTCCATGATGAACCAAGTACGCACTCTCTCTTTCAATCTCTCAGCTCACCCTCGTCCTCAACCCGAAGACCACCACCTTACTGCGCCGACCTCCAATACCCAGCCCGACTATGGCTGGTATCTGGTGCTGCCTCCAGCGGCGCCCACCTTCACCACCTGCGGCCGCGTGCGCCCAGGCTCTCGTCACTAGCGGCCATGAGCGCTGAAAATGGCAGCACTGCCACTGTGCACCAAGTGCCCGAATGGATGGCCAGCAGGCCTGCCTCCACGCCGTGCCTGGAAGAGCCTAGAAGGCTCAGGATGTCACGGTTGCACACCGTGCTGGGCCCTTCAACCAACAGGTGCCCAAGAACTGTCTGGCGCCCCCAAAGGCCCTGAAAATGTCAAGATTTAGGCCTGTTGGTGACATGCATGCCCGCCTTCACTTAGGGCGGGCACAATTCTTGCACCGGGGCCCTTTATGAGCCTGCCAAGGACAAAAATCCTCGCACTGTCATTAGGATCTTCTGTTTCAAAGTTGAAAGGATACCGAGAAGACTTCCGACTTGCCCAAATAGAACTCTTGGTCAATGGAGCTGTATTTGTTAAAATTTTCAGTCTAGATACAGCAATGAGAAAATACACTGGTAGAATCATCAATTAATACAATGATCAAGAAAAGATAATGATACTGATATAGTGATGATGAAAATGGTAATGACGAATACAATTACATTGAACAACGCACGGATTCACGAGGTGAAAACGGCACCCCAGTCTCGGTACAGCAATAACGACTGTGCATTCTATTTGTGTGAAAATGGTAAGACGATCTCTGCACAAGATTGAAGAGTGTCACACACAGCTTGGGAAATGCCAAAATGGACCAAATGGGACAATTTTAGAATTATTTACTTTTTAAGGTGATTTTAATGCTGCAACCTTCTGGATGGCTCAGCTTTCAAGTCCCCTCAGCTGTGCTTGTTAATATGACCTTACAGAGTCAAAAGAGGCTCCACCAAGTTCACAGCTAATAGGCAACTGGACATTTCCTTGTAGAACAGTTCACCCTGTAGCTGCACACACACACACACACACACACACACACACACACACACACACACACACACACACACACACACACACACACACACACACAACTCGGTAATGAGGGAACCCTAGACACCTGCGCAATGCCGCTCTGTGATGATCCACCTGAGATCTGGTTAGCATGTGGGTTGCATGCATTGTGTCGTGAGGATTATGAAGGCACAGCTCGTGCGAGTTTTTGGTTTCATACGTATGATGACAGTCAATATTGTACTCACGTACGGCACCCTGACATGTCCTGTCCAATTTGTAGACAGGGAATCGAACGGCAATGCCTATACAACTGCGGCCGGCACGCCTGTGTTCGTAGCATGTGGGTGCCTACGCCGAGCCATTCGCTGCAGCAACTGCGACTGCGAGACCTGGATGCGATGCTTCCACAGTCCACACCCGAACCGGTGCTGTCCGCTCTGTAGGGGTGGCCCCTCACCATAGCCCATGGGTACTCCCTACACAAAATCTCCAACAGCCTGAATACTGACTGACCTCTCATGTCATTCTAAGATTGGTCTGCTCCGGTGTGCTCTCTCTCTCTCTCTCTCTCTCTCTCTCTCTCTCTCTCTCTCTCTCTCTCTCTCTCT